GAGGCAGAGCCTCTCTGGAAGAAGTGGCTCACTGGGGTGGGCCTTGAGACTTGACCGCCCTGCTCTACTTCCTGCATCCCTGCAGTTTCACCAGTGTGTGGCAGTGTGACCAGCTGGCCTCTTGTTCTGGCTATTATGCCCTCCCTGCCTGCTGCCATGTCTTGCCCACCACAACAGACCATATCCCCCCCTGAGAACCACAAGCCCAAACAAACCCCTTCTCCCGTAAGTTGCCTTGTCAGGCTGTTCTACCATTAGAAATAGAGAAGCGACTACGACTCTTACCCATTTCAATTTTACAAGCAGAAATACTGTGTTGGTAAAAACGAAGCGTTTCCTCGATCACATTGAAGGACTGAATATCCCAGAAGCCATCAGTACTCAGACCGGCCAAAAATTGGTCGTTTTTCACAGCTGGTCTTCCCGCTCTCCAGTGTGCATACGACAATGTGGTCTTATCAAACCACATCAAAGAGTTGTCTAGGAAAGAAACACATGTTTCTAGACTTAGAGTTAAATCAAGATTTCAGTTTCAATGTTAGTATTTCAGACTACTGAAATATTTCCTCCATTCCTTACCTTCTAAAAGACTGTCAGGTTAATGGTACCTTTAAAAAAAAATGTCTTCTAATTGTAACAGGAAATCATGCTTGGTTTTTAACTTGAAAATGTAAATTATAAATATGAAAAAAAAATTAACTGGAATGCCACTTCTTCTTTTTTGGGAGGGCTTCGGAGTTAAGGTTTCTTTGTGTAGCTCTGGCTGTCCTGAAATTTGCTCTGTAAACCAGGCTGGTCTCGAACTCACAGAGATCTGCCTGCCTCTGCCTCCTGAGCGCTGGGTTTAAAGGCGTGCACTATCACCACCAAGCTAGAATTCCCCTCTTTAGTAGCTTATTTGTCTCTTTTCATCAACCATCCATTCTCCTTTCAACTGCAACATAAACAATAATAACTATTTTATTTTTTAAAAAATTATTGATATCTTATAAAATTAGTGAAAGAAATTATTTCCTCTGGACACAACTGTGCATACTCGTGAATGAAAGGTTTTAACACGCTTCATTTCAATGTGGAGATCAAGTTTCTCAACAAACTGTGCTAAATAGTTGGATACTAACACACAAAATTATGAATGTGAGCTCCTTGCTGTTAACGCAATAAAAAACTAACTCAGTCAGGTGGTGGTGGTGCATATCTTTAATCCCAGCACGCGGGAGGCACGGGGATCTCTGTGAGTTCGAGGCCAGCCTGATCTACAGAGTGAGTTCTAGGATAGCCAGTGGTACACAGAGAAACCCTGTCTCAAAAAACCAATTAAAATAAAAAAAAATTGTTGCTATTGATAATACTATGACAAACTATGTAAGAGGGTATAACTTAATTTTACTAAATTTCTAGACAAAGGCAAAGGCTTCATTTTATGGCATCTTGATATATTCTGTTCCCCTGCATCACTCTTGTGCTTTCTCTCCCCAGTCCCTTTCTGTTTTCATGTTCTATGCATTCCATTCCCAGCGGGTACGATTCAAATATGTGTGCCTGAGTTTGGTGTCCTCCACACCGTTCCACCATTTCCAGGGGAGCATGCACTGAGTGCCCTGACCCTTTCCCCTAGAAAACTTTTCAATTTTAGGAGTGCTTATACTTTTATACAGTTTCTCACATCTTACATATCTACTTATACAGACTGAACTCTGGGTAAAATGGTCTTCTTGGAAAAGCACAGACATTCCCTGGAAGTGTGCGCTCTAGGGGAAGCACAAGAGAGAACCTAACAAGGAGAGGAGAAACAGAGCGCTTGGCCTGCTGGGATCAGGCCTGGAGCTGCTTTTTCTCACAGCTGTATTGCTTCCATGCTTGCTCTAATGCAACTCTATCACTGCGTCCCATCTGGATTCTTCTCTTTCCTCTTTCCTGAGCTCAGGAGCCATGACTACTGCTCGGGTAGAGACGAGAAGAAACGCCAGACTCCTCCATGACATGCCTACAGACGGATTTCCCTCCCTAACTGCAAGACCTCCGCGAACTTCGGGATACCTCTGATTTTCCTTCTACACTGGTCTATTTACTCTCTATGAGACACAGGTTTTAGGGTTTGTTCGTATCAGTGGTATTTTGGAGACATGGTGTTTAATCCAAATTTCAAATATCCTTCCCCACTCTTAGACTAAGAACCTTATCCTTCTGCTGCTTACTATATCCAAGGTAATGCTATAAACCCAAAGGGGCAGCATCATTAAAAATGTGTCTTGTGTTTGTTTTTTCCACATAGTTATAGTTATAACGGGAGTGCAAACTGGGGATATATATGGAAATGTGGTTATTTTTAATTAGTCTTGAGTTGCCAGAAGGAAGGGTGGAGATGGAAAATTACTCTCTACCATTTAAATCTAAGATTGGGGTAAGAGTGTGCGTGGTGGCAGAGCAGAGACACAAAAACCTTCATGGTATTATTACACCCCATGTTAAATACATAACACATACTGGTGCATTAATAAAGATGTTCTTTAAAGAATTGCATTTCTAGTTGGACGACGGTGGTGCACACCTTTAATTCCAGTACTTGGGAGGCAGAGGCAGTTGGAGCTCTTTGAGTTCAAGGCCCAGCTTAGTCTACAGAGTTCTAGGACAGCTAGGGCTGTTACACTGTGACAAAGCCACAGTCTCCACTTACTTTCATAGGTTATCCCTAGCATGACCCAGGAAGCCATATAATTGAAGTACAGAAGCTGCTCAACCACAAAGTCGTTCTCCTCTTCATTCCGAATACTCAGAATCTGGGCTTTTGAATCTGTCAAAACAAAAAAGGCCAATTTTAGCATTTACTTTGTACAGAATACTTTGTCTTCCCTTGAAAGAGTCAGGGAGTCCTACTTCCCAGACGCAGCTGCTCTGAACTGGCCATCAGCTAGCTATAGTGGCAGGCTGTGCAGTGTTCACACATTCCGATGTCCATCTGGCCCCCACAGGACACAGGGATCTGGGAGCTGAGAACCTAAGATGCCCACTTCTCTTTGCCTTCATTTAAAGGTCACTTTCTAAAGGCACAAATCCACACAATATTAATGGGATGCTGTTAAAGACTACCCTGTAATAATGCTTCTTTAGTATAGTTTTAATTATTGAAAATAGATTAATTTTTTTCTTCATACAATATATTCCAATTGTGGTGCCCCTCCCTCTACTTCCCCAGTTCCTCTCCACCACCCCTCCCACCTGGATTTACCACATTTTCTGTCTCTCATTAGAAAACAAACAGGCATCTAGGGGGTAAGAATAAAATAAGCCATAATAAGATTTAAACAAACAGAAAGGAAAGAACCCTAGAAAAGGTACAAGAAGCAGACATAGATGCAGAGGGCCACTCATGCACATGTTCAGGAATGCCAGAGAAACACAGGACCAGAGATCATAATATATATAAACACAAGAGACCTGTAGGGCCAAAATAACACTAAGAAATAAAAAGATAAAATCTGCAACAACTAAAAAAGAATAAAGAGAAAAAGCCCTGTCATGACATTATAAGGCAAGAAACCTCCAAAGACGCCACTGAGTCTTTTTGCTGTTGTCCATCCACTGCTGGGCACACAGTCTACCCTTAAGAGTCGCTTCCCCAGTGAGACTCTGAAGGGACAGCAGCCTACGCAAGCAGGGTGGCTCTGGCAGGTCTCGTCCCCACCCCTATTCCCTCTGCCTTGCTAAAAACAATTAGATTATATTCCTAAAACTGGTCATTTATTTGGCCACTTCCTCCTCCTGAGGCTGACTACCAAGGTCTAGCTATCAAAGTATTGGAATCCAGCAATCGGAAGCCCCCTTTGGCTCATCTAATTAACATGACCAATTAAAATTAAACACCTCATCCTCACATGGGGTTTTCCATTTTACCTTTATAAACCTCCATTTGCCTAGGTGCCACTTCTGTCTCCTCTCTATCCAGAGACAGTTCTTTGTCCCCCAGGACAAACGTTCCTGCCCTCTTTCTCTTGTCCCTTTCCCCTTCTCTTATGTCCCATGTCCTCTACCACCACGTTGTAGCCCATTCTAACCCAGACCTCCCCTTTTTCTCCTCTTAAAAATTACACCTGCAAGGTCATTTGCTGCTAATTGGTGTCTGAGTCAGAAAGCAGCCTAACCTTTCTTCCCCACTTAATAAAGGATCTCTCTGGGGAAACAGGTCTTTGGGTGTGGTTTGCACCTCATCCAGGGTCCAAGAGGGAGCTCCTGCTATGCAGGGGACTGGGGTAGGATTCAGACTCCTTTGAAGAAAACTAAAGTTTCATTTGCAAGTAGTTATCAATCGGACATAGCTTTTTGATTAGGGATGGCGGTAGGCGTGCGTGTCCACTTTTCCTTTCAGTTCTAGGACCCCATTGGGTTCTATGCATGCTGCCTCCGTCTCTGTGAGTTCATACTCTATGCCAGTATTTCTTAAAGTATATCTTGATATACTCTGACACAGAGGGTATACAATCTAGTGTCTCTCCACCCTTATTCTATCTTTAATTTTTTAAAAAATTTTTTGTAGAACTTCTCTTAAAACACATGCTCTTAAGACTCAGCACACTTTGAGGTATAATGACTTGATACTTTTCATAGGAACTCTGCACAAAGTTCATAGTTCCTTTCTTTCCATCATTCAGAAGTTACAGACCCTCAGGGTTTAGCTGGGAATTGCTCCAGTTCTGGTGGTACGTGGTCAGGGTCGGTTGCCTTTGACCTTGGTTCTGATGAGTGCTGTAACTGGGCTTCACGCCCGCCTGCACAGGGTGACCTAGTTCAGGTCAGTCAGTCTAGGCGCTCCACTGCCAGTTCTCTGCCCTCTCGTGTGAAAATCAGGAGAGCCAGTCACCAGAGCTACTCAGGAATCTTTGTAACGGCTGACATGCAAAGTGAGCACGTCCCAGTACTGGAGGGCAGTGGAAGATGCTTACGCAGTGTCTGGCAGTTGGCGTGTACCTCCCTCGGCGTGACTGTCTTATGTCTATTCTTCGTGATCATGAAGTTGTAGCAGGAGTTCTGGAACGGCACCCATGGCGTGTTCTGCACAGGAGGCGGACACTTAATGCTGCTGAACGGTTTGACCTCCTTTTCCGTCTCATCTAGGAAGAAGGGTTAGCGGTGAGAAATCTAATTTCAGACGTGAATGTTAGATCCTGTTCACAGTCATTAGATTTGATTTGTGGGAGACTTGCAGGAAGCGAGGAAGTAGCAGCCTGGCGAGGCTGGCTCTGTTTACCCTCAGATATAGCATAAAGAATGCTGGCTTTCTGCGGGGAGGGAATTATTTGACATAATTTTCTTACCCCTGCTGTGGAGTGCAGGAATGGTAAAAATGAGGTGTTTTTAGGTTACAGGAGTTTCTTTCTTCCTGCATTATCAAATGTCAAGTGCCAGGATCCTCCCAGGGGAGCTCTATAAACATATTAATTAACAATAGGCATCTAACTTTAACGGTGAGATTCACTCTCACGGTTCTTCTTACTGATAGCTCTAACTCTAATGAGATAACTTAATGAAATAGTTATTCCCTTAGCAAAATTAGAGATATCTTTTAAAACATGGCCTCTAGAATATTTAATCTTTTTCATTTTATGAAAGTCATGTAGTCTAGAAGATCCAAATATAGTAATGTAGAACTCAAAATAATTGAGAAAGATTTACTATGTCATAGTGACTATTGGGCATTTTTTTTCTTCCATTTTGTGACCAATCCCTTTGTCTCAGAGAATAATGTGTACTTTCTACCACAAACACACAAAGGTGGGCCCCCGATTGGGCTGGGGATTTCATAGCCAGCTCAGGCTGAGCCTGTTCGGTCCTGCGAGTTGGAAACGTGGGATTCAGAAATCATTAACTCACCTTTGGCCACAGGCAGAAGTGAAGGCAGCAGAGCAGCCCTGTTCCTCTACCCGCAGAGTGGAAAAACGGGGACACAGAAAGGACAGGCACGCGGCACGTCCTGGTTTTATGTTTTCTTGTTGGTGTCGGGATTTTTTTTCTTTGTTTCATTTTTGGTTTTTGAGACAGGATCTTACCATGTCGCTTTGGATGGCCCGTAGACCATGAGTTTGTTATGTGGACCAGGCTGGCCTCAAACTCACAGAGTGCCAAGTGCAGGGATTCTGAGGCTCCTTCTCCAGATGGCTGACCTACGCTTGTTGCTTGTTCGTAAGGTGGTGGTCAGAATGCCCTTGTGACTTAAGCTCCCTCGCCTGTGTTGCCGCTCCTTACAATCAGCTGAGTCTTTGTTTTTGAGACAGGGGTTTGCCTGTAGCCCAGGCTTTGCTAGGCTTTGCCCATCTTCTGCTTCACGCCTGAGTGCTGGGATTAAAAGTGTGTGCCACCACGCCTGGGAGCTTTAACCGTGGTTTAAGATGCTAGTTGTCAATGTTAAGAATGAATTAAGAAAGCGTTTCCATGAGTTAGTTTTGTAAATATATTTGAATAAAAACAGACGTAAGAGGAGGCTGAGTGACAATGGAACTCTATATGCCAGTCAGCATTGTCAGCTGATATAAGAAAGACAAAATCCAAAATAAAACTAATTACAAAAAATCTATAATCAATAATTCTTGAGTACAAATGTTTGCACCAAGTTTTGTTGGGGAAAAAAATTGACATGATGGAGCGGGAGATGGTTCAAGGGTTAAGAGGTGTCTGTTTCCCCAGAGGAGCTAGTTCAGATTCCCAACATCTACCGGCAGCTTAGAACACCTGCAACTCCAGTTCTGGAATGTGGCTTCCATGGACACTAGACACGCACAAGGTGCACCTGCACACATACTGCCAAAACACCCATACACACAATAAAGCAGTGAAAATAATTTTTTAAAAAGGATGCAATTTCCTTATAATCCCCAAATAAGATTTTGCAAAACCAAATGCCCAGAACTCTACTGCACTTGAGATCTACATACTTCCTGGGTAGTAGCAAATGGCGCCGGGTTGGTTAGCATCGCAGTCAGCTGTCTTCCAGAACCCGTCCGATTCTAAGATCACACAGTCATCAAGCTTCTCATTGTTGACAGCCCAGTTACTAAAGTGAAGATGTTTCCCGTCTGACCAGCCAAAGTTGAGCTCATCCTAGGAGGGGCAGAAAGCCATTTCAAAGAGACAATATTCACACCATCCCTTCCATATTATTTTAACCCATGAGGTCCGATAATTATCAGTTGTATTTTATATCTTGTTAAGCACTATTTTAAATGCTTGATAAATATTGGCTTGCTGAATCCAAGAGGGTCCCTCTCGTCTCCCTTTAACAAATCAGGGAACTGAGGGTGAGTGCAGGGCTAGGACCCCACTTCAGGTTCTTAGATCCTAGACTTTGGGGTCCTAACCATCATGTTCTGCTACCCACAGATCATCAGAACTGTGAGTTGGAGGCCAGAAAGCTAACGCGGAGTGCGGAGTCCGTGCATGGGGAACAATGGCGGCAACATGGCATACTAGGAAGACAGAAAGCTGGCTGTGCGCAGCAGTGCAATCACATCTGAGCTTCTGATGTGTGAGCCCGACCCTCCCAGTTTCCAGCCCCCGATCTGTGAGATGGCTGTGACCCAAGACTAGCCAACTGTAAAATGTTCATTTCCTCAGTCTCAACTCAGGCCAGTGTAGCTTACTCTGCTACACTGGTCTCTGGGGCAAAGCAGCCTCCTTTACAGTACTTATGTCATTCTGGAAGCCTCTAAACACTTGTCTGTAGAGCTTGACAGGGCCTGACCACCCACCTGTCTTGAGAATGGCTTTATGTGGTTGACATTGGAGTTTGAGGGATAGTTATGACATTTCCCATTTGTGCCTTAATAATCTTAATAATAATAATAATGCACTAGGCCTTAATAACCAATGCTGGCCCAACTGCAGGACAGGGCTAAGCATTTCTGAGGCCTGAGGGAAGGTCACACACAGGTTCCTTATTTCAAAACTAGGAAACAGCCAAACCTAGTGCTACTAAATGCTTCATTATTTTGGTAGTGCTAGGGGTTAAATCCAGGGTCTCTGGTTGCTAGCAAATCCTCCATCAGTTAATCAGGAAAGCCAATGGGGGCTTGATTTTACCTACGCTTTGGCCTACACTGTCTCAGTCTTCCTCTGTGCCACCAGCCCCTGCCAATGGCCTTTGGAGCTTCCTTCCAGCACAGATAAATCCTCTTGCGCTCCCTGTCCGTAATGAATGTGAAACTACCTGATCAAGACTATAGACCTAAACTTTCTAACATTTAATCTTTCATTGATCTAATCTGAACTTGGTTTTTCTAAGCTAACAATCTGTTTTAGCTACACACGGGAAGCCTGTTCATTTTTTTTTTTTTTTTTGTCCTTAGATACCAAAGGATTGTATCAAGTGGCAGGCTGTGGGTATTAGCTCCTTTGACAGTCCTTGCTGTCCGTTCCAGGTTCCACGCCTCTCTCTGACTTGTTCCCGGTCCCCTGCTCCTTCCCGATACTCACTACAGTGTCCTGAGCCTTGCTTCACCCTTCTGTCCCAACCGCTGGCTTTTGGATGTCTCCAATACTTAAATGACACACTGCTGTCACCTGCTCTGGATTTCATATAACCCAGAGCTGCTGTGCCTGAGATACGGTGAACATGCTCTACTTCATGTCAACGTTATTTTCTTTAAAGACGTAAATAAAAACGACTGTCCCCACAGCTCAGGCTCCCTGCTGCTCCCGTTCTCGCTATACTTTCCTAGGTAGTGTCATGTTATTAGAATAAACAGTTTCACATCATCTCTTTTCTGTTATAAAATTTTTAATTGCTTTCAATATACACCGTTACATCTTCTTATCCTGTCAAGTTCCGAAGATTAAAGGCAGCTTGTGAAGACACACAGACAACAGGCGCACAGGATACGTAAAATGAAGGGCGAAGGGAGAAGAGACCCACAGGTCAAGACTGAAAACACAAGAGGGCACAGTTGGTCGAGCAAGCCATTCAAAGGTGGAAGGAAAGAAAAGACAGCATAAAGTGGTCCTCTGACCTCCACATGTGTGCCCCCCTCTCACACCATGTGCACACACGCACGTGTGCACACACGCACATGTGCACACACGCACACTATAAAGATGATAGAAAACAGACTAAGGAAAAATACTAAAATCATTAAGTGGGAAATGGGGAGAGTTATGTAACTGCTTTAAAAATAAACCCATAAATACAGTAACTCAAGAACACACACCAAAATGCTAACCCACTGGTAGACTACCGATACTTTAGTACGAGTGACTTTTGATTCAACAGCGAGACTCTTGCTCAGCAGCTTGGGCTAATCTGGAACTCATCCTAGAGCCCAGGCTGGCCCTGAATTTATGACAATCCTCCTGCTTCAGCCTCCCAAGTGTTGGCATTACACTTCGCTAACAGTGATTTTAATACAAGTGATTTTAATTTTCCTTCTTTTAATTTATTATAGCTTAAAATTTTAAACCTTACATGTACGTGTGTGTATGATATGTGCATGTCAGCGTGTATGTAATGTGTGTATGATGTGTGCATGTCTCTGTGTATGTCTGTGTGTGTATGCTGCATGTGTATGCCTCTGTGTATAATGTGTGTGTGTCTGTGTATGTGTGTGAGATATGTGTGTGTTTGTGTATGTGTGTGTGAGATGTGTGTGTGTGTGTTTGTGTGCACACACTGGTATATGTGCCATGGCTTGGGTGTGGAGGTCTAAGGACAGCCTCAGGTGACAGTCTTTACCTTTCACCTTGTCCGAGAAAGGCTCTCTCGTTTGCCTCTATGACTTAACGTCTTTCTGCTAACTCTGAAAGCGATGGAAAACTCTCCATACTTCCTCCACACCCAACCCTACCAGACTTTTAAATTCTTCCTTTCTCATCTTGGTTGAGGAGACCTGACAACTTCTGATTCTAGCTCGGCCAAACTAAGACGAACAAAAAGAAGCGCTCAGTGAGCCATACCCACTAGAAGGTTTCTGAAGACCCCAATCTTCCACTTTGTGTCCAAAGACAACTGGCATAAAAACAGACACCCATGGAATTAAGCTCATACAGTTTTAACACGCTGCTTTCTTTGGGTCTACAAGAGGAGCTAACGGGAGGAACGGCAAACTTACATCTTGACTGGAGAGTCCGATCCAGAAGGAGCTGTTGCGCAGCGTGGCCTGCACGGAGAGGAAGGCCTGTTGGTAAGGATCTGTGATGCTCACCAGCCGCATGTTCTCTTTCAGACACTCCTTCAGAGCGCCGTGCCAAGTCACAGGCTTCGAGATGATTTTGTACAGGTTATTTAGATATTTTACAGTTTCTGACTTTGTCTCCCAGGGCTGTCTGTCTTCAACGTCTATTGTAGAAGAAAACAATAACAAGAGTTCCTTCCGTGCACTCTGTTAAGTCATCGAGGCCTGTCGGATTTCCAGAGCTCATCCCTTCCTGGTTTACTTCAGACATCACTACTTCAGAACTTTGCTGAGAGATTAAGCTATATATTGCTGAATGGCTTAGGAAAATTTAAATGATTTGCAACTTCCTGAAATCAGGACACTTCCGTTTAGCTGTTCTCATTTGGGAGAAGAAAAGCTAAACAAAAAAGTCGCCCGCAATAAGATTATTATTCCACCTCCTTTGTGTGAACTGCTTTGCCAGGAAAAGTATTTCAAAGTCTCCCCCTTACAACATCTTGATCAGCCCCACCACCTGAATGGCCGGGGACCCTTTCTAAGAGGGGGACAGAAAGACTGTAAGAGCCGGAGGTTGGGCTGAATTGGAATGGAGCAGCATCTTTGGGTCATAGCAGGATTGCAGCGCTTGTAAACTCCCAGCGGCTCGGGTCCCTGAAGGAGACTGCACGAGACCAAGCCTGTCCTCTTTGAGCATGGACTGGGAAGTGCTTCACCAGTCCCAGCCCCAGCTGAAGCCCTATGAACAGCTGATGACTCTGTGGACAGAAGGTTTCTTTAAGACTGTGGCTACCAGTAGGTTAGCCAGGCTCTGGCTGCTGGCTCCACAGCCAGGACTATACAAGCCGCAGAACGTGGTGTCAAGGGGCTATTGAGAAATAAAGGAACTGAAGTTTTGGGAGGGAGTAGGGAGATATGGATGGGTGTGGAAGGAGTTGGGGGGCATGTGTTTGTGTGTGTGTGTGTGTACCAAATGCATTGTATGAAATTCTTAAAGAATCAATAAAACTAATTTTTAAAAGTGTTCCTTTATTTCAAGTGGCAGAGCTACCCTGAAAAGGAGTTTGCAGAGCCACTTGTTACTGCCTTAGGGTTCTTATCTGAATAAGGAAGTCATTAGAGAGGGTGGGCCAAAGGGGCAAAGATTAATTTAGCAAGAGAAGCTTTGCCAAGGTACATAAAATTCGTGCTTAAACTTCTCATTGTGTAGCAAACACTTTTACTTAAACACTTGTCAAAAACGTATCATGGTCAATTAAAAATAATGCAATGCATTTTTAAAAAACTGGGTGGTTTCTATTTAATTTTTTTTCTTCTTACTATGTAGCCCTGGTTGTCCTGGAACTCACTACGTAGATCAGGCTGGCCTTGAACTTACAGAGAGGTTCAGTTGCCTGTGCCTCTCCAGTGCAGAGGGGTCTGCCACCATATCCAGCATGGGTGGTTCCTACTTTTGAAGCACGTATTTTACATTATTTTGACTATGGGAAGATACAGACGGCTTCATGCACAGTGTTTCCTCAAATTTCTGTCAGCTAAATTTAACAGTCAGTGTTTGTACAGTACTGAATTTTTCCTCGGATAAAAACAAAAATCTGCAAAATATCTAAGTAGAAAGAACATCCAACCACAGCTTACTAGAATATTGAACTATGACTCTCATTAGACAACTATTAACATGTTCTACTATAGATTTAATTTTATATTTAACTGTGGTAATAATACTTGAAAAAAACCCACAGTCTATAAGTCATAATCTGCTTCACTGTGTCAATATGAACTTGTCTATGCTAAAAATGTAAGCTACACAACTATAAAATTATATAAATTTATTCGTAAGACTTTAGCAAGGAAGCCTGTCTAACAGCAAAAAGTATGGTAGATTATCAAGGTGACAGCCGATACCTGAGTACTTCTGACAGAGAGACAGAGAATGGAGGTCGGAGCAGGAAGTAAAATTCCAGGTCCCAGTGTACGGCGACTTTTTGAGATTGAGAATCAGGGCACAGCGGTATTGAGACTCGTCATCAAAGAGCTGGAAAGAAAAGAGTAGCCCAGTTATGGGACTAATAGTGGTGCAGAAGAGTTTGCATCTTGGTGTTTCTTCTTTCCCCTACAAACCAACAAATGAGGCAGGGCCAAAACCAACCCAAAACTCTTGAGAGAACTTACCGTGAAACTTCTAAAGGACAAAAAGACAGCAATAGCAAAACCATGCTGTTGTGGAATATTCCTTTTTCACTGTGTGAAGATGCGGCGTTGTGATTGGTTTATAGAAAGCTGAATGGCCAACAGCTGAGCAGGATTTTCGGGGCAGAGAGAATACTGGGAAGAAGAAGGGAGAGGGCAGAGAGGCCAGGAGCCGGATTCGGAAAGAGTCAGACACACAAAATGGGGTAGAGGTGTAGATAGAGGTGGTAGAGTGTAGATCAAAAGATATGATATGGATTGACTTAAGTTAAACAACCAGCTAGGAACAAGCCTAAGCTATCAGCTGAGGTTTTATAATTTATACTAGTCTTCACGTTGTGATATGGAAGCTGGAAGAAGCGACAGAAAAATCTGCCTGCACCATGACAAACATTTAAGACATTAAAAAAATAATGGAATTAACTTTAGAAATTAAAAAATGTTAACATAGATACACATATTTTCAAACAAAGAAAGCCTCTTAGAAGTAAGATAAAAATGACTACAGGAATGCTTCAAATTTTTTTTCTATTGTTTTGTTTTTCAAGACAGGGTTTCTCTGTAGCTTTGGAGCCCATCCTAGACCTTGTTCTGTTGACCAGGATGGCCTCAGACTCACAGAGATTCACCCGCCTAATCCCAGCAGAGGTGGGCAGAACACTGAGTTGAATGCCAACCCGGTCTACAGAGTGAGTTCCAGGACAGCCAGGCCACACAGAGAAACCTGGTCTAGAAAAATAAAAACAAAAAGGAAACGGAAGACTGATAAGGCACCTCCCTGGGCGTTGTCTGTGAGGACCGCTTCAGAGAGGAGTAGTTGAAGGAGAAACACTCACCCTGAATGTGGGTGATGCTAACCCGTGGGCTGAGGACCCACACCTTAGAAAAGGTGGGGAGGGCAGGGAAAGTGGAAGGGAGTGGCAGCCCTCCCCACTCTGCTCCCTGCCCGGTACACTGTGAATTACCGTGTCCCCCATCACCGTGGACAGAAACCTGAAACCACAGTTCACAATAGACCTTTCCCGCTGAGCTATCCAGGCGCTGCAGTTACCTTGACTCAAAAGTATCTAACTAATACAGATGCCTATAGGGGAAAAAAAAAATCACACAAAAATCCTTAGGCAACATCTTTCTAAATACTGGTAAGACAATCAAGAAAAAAAAAAAAAAAAAAAAAAAACAACAACACGCCATTGTCAATGGTTTAAAAGGAAGGTGGAACATTTCACCATGACCTAAAGGAAGATGAGAAACGATGAGATGCGGTATCCCACATTCCCAACTCGGGTGACTGACAAGTGTCTGATTACCCCTAAGATCCAGCAGAATCTCATCAGGGATTTCACTGTTGCGGCCATCGCAAGGTGTCTGTCTCACCGCTGTCAGTCTCGGGCCCCTTTC